CAAGAAAAAAATGTTAAACGAATAAATTATTACATTTCGCTTTGTAAAAAAAATACACGTTGCGATGACGAAAATGCGCGGGTTGGTGACAACATTAACCTGCCAGAGCAACATGCTACAATAAGATAAAGAATAAGGGTATGGGTGTGGGTGTGGGTGTGGGTGTGGGGTTTTATTCTTCGATCATACACACCCACACCCTGAAAATTTTGTTTTTTTTTAGTTATAAACTGCATTATGCAAAAATATGATATTGTCAATGATATGTTTGAAGATGAAATTTTTTCTCGGTGTGCTTTGTTTAGTACGTTATTGAAAGAAATACTGTTGAGCTCGCTGCTCTAGTAAGATGCACGTGTTGAGTCTTTGTGGGTAGGCAATAGAGGTCGAGCAAATAACACTTGGGCAGAAGATTAATTGAGAGAATTCGTCAATATACATTCAACATGGATAGACATTTCAATGCGGAGACAATCGATAGCTGTCAGTCACTGAGATGTCCGGCTGTTTCACAAAAATGTTTTCTCAGAAAATGTGAGGAATTCTAAAATATAGTGAAAGTTTATATCATTGAAACAACGATAAGAAAACCATGGTAAGGTGTTTTGCAGCTACTTGTATATTATGAATAAGAAATCATTAATACTGCAATGAATATTTCATATATTATCGCTCTTTATCAGTGCACATATCTATCATTACAAATACTTTTAAATAAGCAAAAAGAATTTTAGAATAGGTATTGTTCGAGTATATTCTATGTCTATCTGTTAAGTATCATCTTGCACAAATATTGATGATCATCTGACATGGTACGATAGTCTAAATGATTCTTACTTTACACTTGTCGAACTTTTAATCGAGAAAGATATTGTGACTTTTATTTTCGATTACGTTCATTAATTTAGATGATACGGCTCTGCTTGAAAATAACCTATCAACGATAAGAACATCAATTGAGTTGTCTTATGTCGATAGAATTACTTAAGAAACACAAATAAGAAATTAAAATACTGTTTCAAGTATACTTTCTTAATCGAAATATTTAATTTTCAATTGAATGTGAATATAGAATAAAATAAAGCACGTAGCATAATATCTTTTATTATAAAAGATGCTTAGAAAATAAATGAAACATAGAATGGAATTAGAAATATATTCATGAAAACACTGTCATACAAAATATTTCTCCTAGCAAGACTGAGTCAACATATGATGCTTCGATTATTGGCCGTTTGACATAGTTTACGAGACTTTTGTCGATTGATGTCATATTTCTGATAAAAGTTTCATCATGTGATGAAATGAAATCGTTGTACTATTACTAGTCGTTTTCTTTTTGTTATCATATTGCAACAATTAATTGAAAGTAATTAAAATGTAATATGTACTAACATATGTGAACAATAAACTATTGCGTGTTATAGGAGTATACAAATATCGACCCTCACTCGTATAAGCTTGAATTTCAAGTGATACAAAGATTTCTCATCAAGAGGTAAAAACGAAACTAAAAGCATATATCATTTGTTTATATCAGTTATAGACACGATCCAGCTCTTCTTCAATTCAACTGTTCTTGATATGCTTTTCTACTGATTAGTACTACTATGTTTTATTTACTATTTATTGTTGAAGAGTTCTATCCAATGAAGAACCACTGAACCATCATATGTTTTTTTTCTCGTTTTTCTTATTTCTCACGTTGCACGTTTCTCATCCTATTGAATATCACAAACGCATGATGATAACAACCTACACATGACTAATCATATCAAAACTATTTCATAGTCACAATAATGATATATGTCTGCCTCAGAAACATTAAAGAGAAAGAATGTTTTCATATTAGTTTGTAATGATAAATGGGTTCCCGATTCCCGAAGGAAACGGAAGTGAACCGAACTCGATGGCACTGCAGTGTCGAGACGATCCATGGTACGAATCCAAGTGAACTCGGGTAATCTCAGCCGATGCCCAAAAATCCGCTTGAAAGAGTCTGATCCCAATGGGACCAGCGCCGGCTTTCAAACCGACGAGAGCACCTGCTACACTTTGATCTTAGCCGAAAAGACCGAGAAGCGCTAACTATTTTAGTCAAATGAAAGCTCGACATTGGTCTCGTACTTACACATTACTCAGTACGCAGAGCAAAAAGAAAAATATAATGTGCAAAGAAAACACAGATGTCGTGCGCTGCACGTGCACGGTAAGAGTTGCTTATTACAAATTACCAAGAGGTAAATAATCAATTCTGATAAAATACATATTGCGATGACGAAAACGTGCGGGTTGGTAGTAACACTAACCTGCCAGAGCAACCCTTATTTATCAGTAAATGCAAATGGTAATCTCGAAAGATGGAATCATATAGGAAGCTGGGTGTTGGTGTGGTGTTGGTTCTGTTGAAAAGAAGATCCATACCTGCACCCACACCCACCCACAGATATCCAAACCCACGCATGCCTACACTTAACAACACCCTCGCTCATCTCTCATAACTACGCCTGCATCCACATACACAAACCCTCCTATCTAGACCCGGATCGACACACGACTTTTGCATCGTGTATTTAATGCAAAGGATTGCAATGCTTTTTTTTTTATTTCATTCGAATGATGGAGTAAAATAATGGGTTCCTATTGACGTAACACTCAATGTTGTTGGTGCAAAAAGACAGATAAGGGGAAAAACACCCATGACCACACCAACTGTTGGACGCACTTGCATAATGGAAGAGAAGTTGACGCAGCGGAAAGAAACTCATTTCGAGCCATTCGAATGACTCGAAATGCCACGGAATGGCTAGGAATGGATCGAAATGGATCAGAATGGCTAGAAATGGATTGGAGTGCCCGAATGAACTATTTCCCTCTTGGACTAGCAATTGAGGTTGTGGGTGGCGGGTGTGGGTGTGGGTGTGGGTGTGGGTGTGGGTGTGGGTGTGGATGTGGTTGTGGGTGTGCGTGTGGGTGTGGGTGTGGGTGTGGGTGTGGGTGTGGGTGTGGGTGTGGGTGTGGATGTGGGTGAATACAAGACCCACATCAACACCCTCATTCCAAACCTACACCCACACCCGTTGAAATGTGAACAAAATGACTAAAAAAGTTCTTCTGAATGACTTTCGTTTGTCGGTAAAAAATCAGTTATTTTCTAAAAATTCGAGCTTGACTCACTGTGCATAGAACAACTTTTTGAAAATTTAGATGCTAATAATCTTCGAACCACTCATCCGTTTTCGCTGAAAATTTTCCCGTCGGTACAGTTGTCAGAGTCACACATGTAGTTAAAATTTCAGCCGTGTATCTCTCATCGTGCTCGAGAGATCTATATTATAAGATAAAATGTAGAACAATATTTTATGTAAATTTTCAACTAAAAAGTGGATCAAAATGAGTGGTATTTGACAGCATTTGGTTTGTTTTACGGTCGAAAGTTACTCAATTTTTATTCCGAACATAGGATCTAAATTAAAACGTAATTTTATCACATAGACTTTAAGTGAACTACTGCGATTTGGGGAACGACATTTTGGGGTGTGGGTGTGGGTGTGGATGTGGGGTGTAGCTGTGGCTGGGAGGTGTGTGAGCGAGTATGGGTGTTGGTGTGGGTGTGGGGTGTGGCTGTGGGTATGAGGCCTTGGAGTGGGTGTGGGTGTGAGTGTTGATTTCAAGTATGGTCACGTCCATACCTACACCCCCCCCCTCCCCAACGCACCTCCACACCCAAACCCACCCACCCACACCACACCCACATCCACATCCACATCCACACCCTACCTCACACCCATCCACATCCACATTCACACTCACTCACACCCATATATGTAATACTTGAAACTTGAATTCAAGCATTCAACTATTCAAGTATTCAACTATTCAAGCATTCAACTATTCAAGCATTCAACTATTAAAGTATTCAACTATTCAAGCATTCAGCTATTCAACTATTCAAGTATTCAACTATTCAACTATTCAACTATTCAAGTATTCAACTATTCAAGTATTCAA